TCCTTCACTAAAAGCACATTCCTTTTTCCTGTGTGAACAGAAGAGCAAATAGGTTTCAGAACTTGTAGACAGTATTCCGATGAAATGAGTATCAGGGATGTTTGTGAGATCTGATAAGCATGTATGTATTTTTTGTGGACCTTAAACTGGATTTGCATATACATTGTAGCTGCATAAGAGGTGACAGAACTAGCTTGCAAAAACTTGAGGTCAGAATGACTTCCACACCTGCTGAGTTCTTAAAAAAGAATTGAAGAGTGCTACAGGGCAGTTTGCTGATTCAGCATGGCCTTACAGTTCCTGACCTTACCTTTCTATAAAAAAAACAAACTGTTTCATCTCAGTGTAATAGTTGTGTTCACCTAGTTCTGTTATGGTCTAGATCAAAAATTGCATGTAGATTTTTTTTTTTTTTCAAAACTGGAATGGGGGAGATGCGTTGAATTTGTTTTTTTTCCAGCTCCTTTAAAAATAAATTGTAGCCTTTATTTAAATGTGTGCTACTTTGAATAACTATATAAATAACCTAGGGTTCTAGTTCAGCAACATATAGTAAGTATTACCCTTCTGGTTTGCTTTTTTGGTAACCGTAAAAGAGGTAACTATAGTAGTGTGTCTGTTATGGTATGTTGAATTCTTAATGTCTAAGAACATTGGTTTTATCATTTAGTGGCATGCAGGCGTTGTGTGAGATAAGAATAATTGTAGTATTAAAGACAAGTGTAACTGACTTTAGTGAGTGTCATTACTGAGGAAAAAGTGCTTTTCAGTGTCATAATTAAACTGGTGATGGTTCATATGCTGTGAACTGGTCTTTTTAATGTTAACTTCAAACTTCATTTACATTTCAGATTATGTAGCTGGCATAATGCTTTTCTCAAAAGTGTGTTTTAGCACATGGCTGACAAACTAACTCAGCTAGGAAAAACTGCAATGAAATATGCAAGAAGATTGTATGTTCTGGGACAGTGATTGATATTAACAGACAGTGGTGCAGCGTTTGTGGTCTGATGGAATACATTCCTCAGCTAGTGAGGCTGCATAGCAAAGATTGCTCTTGGGAAAAGTCCCTGAATTCTTTGGCTCTTAGACAACAAAGTCATACCAGTGACATGGCATGTTGGAGGATTTGTAAGGGGGAAGGACTTGAGATGAGTTTTGGTTTTGTTTTTTTAAACTGTTGAGTTACGTGTTGGGAAACAGACTTTGACAGAACCTTTTTTTTTTTTCTTCAGTTATCGTAGTTCTCTAAATGTAGTATTTATTTTAAAAGGGTGTTTGTAAACAATGGGCAAGAGAATAAAAGACAAAGTTTTACTGACGTCAAAACTTTAAAAGTCATAGAAATTGTTTCTAGTCTCCATGCAATTTAGAGTATGTGATAGCAACCATTGTGAAATCCTGATTTTAATTCTCGCATGCTGGAGCCATGGGACTTCTGTGTAGAATGACATTACTTGCCAGTGGCTTTCACTGAAGTAGCGTCAGTGCATCCAATTCTTCTGGAGACTGGGGCGTGCATGGGCCAGCAGAATCCTCTGCATTCAGATAGTACTCTGATAGACTTTTAATTAATCTTCATTTGCAGCTCACCTTTTGTGTAGTGAAGTATTCTGGCTAATCACATGCACTAAAACCAAAAGCTAGTATTTGTATAGAATATGTACCTAAAATAGGTGTGGGTTTTTTGTTTGTTTGGTTTTTTTTAGCAGTGCTGTCAGTGAAGAGAAACATGATGTCCTCAGAGGCAGCCATCTTTGGAGAGTAAAAATACTAAAGATTAAAATAGCTGAAATGGATGTGTGTTCAGTATTTTTTAATGCCGTAGATACAAAATCAGCACCTATGTGGTGTCTTTTTCTAAGTTCAGTTGGTTTTTTGGGTGCCAGTAAAACATAGGATGTTCTTTTTAATAGTAAAGCAAAACAAGGGAGCAAGTGACAGGTTACTGTAGTACCTGTGTTTTTATTTGACGATTCAGTACACACATGCTTTCATGTAGCTGTGCCGACTCCTCCCCACACTTCAGTTTCTGTGGAATTGCCTTCCTTTCGGTGGCATGGAAATGGGGTCATTGTAAAGAGTTTGGAAGTCCTTTATATTCCATATAGAATGCATAGAAGTGTTAATGTAGCTCTGTGTGAATTTAGTTACGAACTGAATCGATTAAGAGGAGGCTTTGTTTGGAAGGTACAAGGTATTTTACTTATGCTACCTTGTATTAAAAGCACAAATTATTTCTGGTCTGAATCTCTCCTTTGAACTGCTAGTAGCTCGTCTTTGTGGTTGACTGGTGTCTGATGCTCAAGATGTTAATAAGGATGATATTTGTAAGATTTAAAAAAAACAAGATAATGTTATAGATGTTTTGATCCTATCCTTTAAAACTTGGTAGAGTTCAAAGAATCTGGTGAAAATACATTAATCCCACATACTAATATAATTAACATTTCTAGAGAGCTTCTCTAGCTTGCTGTAGGCATAGGCTCAGTGCTGGTTTTTTGTTTTTTTTTTTTTTTAATGAAGGAAAGATGATTCTTGGGTATTTTACTAAATTTCAGTGTGTGGTAGTTTTGTACACTGCTGTATTTTTTGTTGCTTTTTGCTTTTAAGACAACATTTTTGTATTCAATTTGTTTTGTTATTCCCATTAGTTCCTTGACAGTTCTTAAGCAATTACCATATTTTTTACTGAAGTGGATAGTTTTTATTAAAAGGTTAGTTGTCATTTATCATGAAAAAGGGAAAGTAATCCTTCATTTTTTTTAAAATTATAGGATTAAATGCTTATCAATTTCCAAACATGAAACACATTGCAGATTTTCACTATTGAAAAGGTAGCTGTTAAGTTTATCATAGTCACTGTGGAAAGACATCAGTTTCCACTTTTAAGTCCATTTTATGCAGACTAATACAGCCTTATTTGTAGGCGAGTTAAAGGTTATTGAAACTGAAAGCTTTCTTCAGCAAGTTCATAGTAACACACTTAAGTACAGGAGTACTTCCACTGACATTAATGTTAGGCATATAATTGAATACTGTGCTGAATTAGGGTCTAATGTCATTTGGTATGTGTTGCAGGCGAAGTGTGTCTATTAGTGTTCCTTAAGAAAAGAATGAGCTTAACGGACCTGGAGCTGTAGTAGAAACTAATACCAACAAGTAAATTTTATTTTAAATGTATTTATTCAACCATTACTTGACAGTTGAAAACAAATACTTCTTTTCATTTGAAAGTGTATTTGCTTCTTCAGGACTTTGGGGATCTCAGAGGGACATGGGTGAGAAAGATGCATGCTCAAGTTGCAGTGTCAGTTACTCCCAATTCATCAAAATGCACTCTACAAATAAACATTTCAGTTGGACCAGATGAGAGTGTTGCTTCTGTGGGTTTTCTGTAGCCTGTACATTTTTAGTGCACAGGATGAATATGTACAATGAAGTTTTAACGTTTTGGGGAGATTCTTAAGTCAAGTTTGTTCTTAATTTAAAATCAGTTTCAATTAACAGGAGATGGAAAACAAGCTACACTAATCAAGTCTCAGTACAAATGCATGAACAAATGTCATGTCCCAGGCTGTCCCTTTTACGCTTGTTTGTACTAGAATCTATAGGAGATATTTGCTGGGAAAAGTTAAAAGTTGGAGAGAAGAACCTGGTGCTGTAGGAGTGAGCTGGGCACTGTTACGCACTTAGGAGGAATGTTGACATTTCATACTGTCAAAAGAGCTTTTGGTCCTACTAAAAGAATAGAAGAATAATTTCTGATTATTTCTCTTTATGATATTTATGATATTATTTGCTCTGCTGCAGTAACTGACACAGTTGTTTGTTTTTGATAAATGGATAGTGTAATTTCAATGGTTTTCAAAGTATTAATTTATTAGCTTTCTCTAGGGAGTAATAAATCGAGTAACAAGTAGGTAAGAGGTGTTTTCCTAAGAGTTTAACAGGTTAAGTTATGTAGGTCTATGCAGTTGTCTTTGATAGAAGTGCTGCAAAGAACGTATGAAACAATATTGACATGTAAGTGAAGATAAAGCAGAAATATATCTTGGCAATTTGAATTTGGAGTAATTAGATTAGAAGGGACCTCTGCAGATCATCTGGTCCAGCCTCCTGAAGCAAAGCTGTTTTGAAGTTAGATGAGGTAGATCGGGACTTGTCCAATTGAGTTCTGAATATCTCAAAGGATGAGGTCCCACAGCCTCTGTGGACAGACTGTTGAGTTTTTTGTGCTTAGGAAAGGTGGGTAAGGGTTGCTATAATAATGTTAAGGTTATTTTCCTCATATTGAAAATACCATATAATATTTAGTGTATCAATGACATTTCTCATTGCTGTAAGAAAAAACACATTTTGTTTTCTTTGTAAGTGAACTCTTGCAAATCCTTGCAAAGTTGTTACTCTGCGGATGTCACTCCATTTAGGTCTCCATACTGTTGGTTTGCTTTATACTTTGTATAGTTACGCTGATAGTTGCTGCAGTAGTGCATAAATGGTCACTTGAAGCTGTTTTTTCAGAAAGATGAATTATGAGTTGCACAGGCTTGCTTAAGGCTGGGCTTAGTTTTAAAACATAGTTGCCAGCTGTTTCTTGGATTATTATATAATGAATTCATACCTTGCTAAAGGTCTCTGTAAACTTGCTGCGGTTGGGTTTTTCTGGCTATTCAGATATTCTTCTTTCAAGTAAGTATTTGTTCTGAATTAAGAACATGTTTGGTGACAGGTGAAGGCTGATTACTGTTTAATGATTTCTTCAACTGTATTACCTTAAACGGTAGGGTTTTTCCTTCCCCATGGCATCTTCAAAATACAGCGAGCATGAAACTTTGGAATGCTTTGGTTGATTAGCTGACTACTGTGAAACTGTTTGAATTGCTGGTATTCTATTGATTGCATTACATCATTACAAAGATATTGTAAAACCTAACGGGAGTATGCTAAAACTTAAACTATGACTAAATAATATTCTTTTTTTTTTGTTGTTCCTCTACAGGCTCATAAGTCAGTGAACTTTGTTTCAACTCTGCTTCAGATCACTATGTCTGAGCAGCTGGATTTACCAGTGAGACAGGCAGGCAAGTTTTCAAATCTTTTTTCATTGTATCTACTTTAATGGTGCATACACACAAGCACATATGCAGATACTGTTGAAGAATTTGAATAGTTTTAATCTCAAATGCTCCAAAGTTGGGAGTCACTCGAAGTACAGTCATCATGAACTACATCTGGCACCATACACTGAATAGGGAAGACAGAAAGAAAAGGTGGCTGGCTCTTCAGTGATTGCTCCTGTTTATCTCTAGTGGTAATAATGGTCTTTGGGGGAAACAGAATGGTTTATGATGCTAGTACATTTCATCCAAGGAGGTTATTTAACCTTGTACTAGTAATGCTAATGTTTCTAAACAGTTGAAGAGGAAGAAAATAAATTATGTCTTTTGGAACCTTGCACATGAGCCATCAAAATTGGATATTGCATCTTAGCAACTCCAAACAGCACCTTAAAGCTGCTATGATTACTTGATAGTGGTTTCTAATATGATACTTCAGTGGTTTTTCTGACAGTTCAGCAAGTGTGATCTTGATCAGTTATTTGGATCTTCCACGTAGTAGACTATTCTAAGTTGTAGCATAAGCCTAACCTGCATTTTTATCTTATAGCTTGGGAGTACCATTCAGAGGATGACTCAAAAAGTATAACATGCAAAAAAAGGGGGAGGTTTGAAAACAACCTCTGAAAATTCAACCTCAGTGTAAGCCAATTAAAAACCGAAGCGGTCTGTAGAGAGTAGAGACAACTCATACAACACATAGCTTACAAACAGTGCATATTTTGCAAAGTAATTAATAATAAATCCCACTAAGGACAGACTGAAGTCTGCATCACTTCAGTCTTGTAATAGCAATATCTGCTGAGTGTTTCTTACCTTTGCAGACCCTTTCAGAAGCCCTTTGCTTTCTGAATCTTCAGAAGGTGCATATGAAATTTCAGAAGAGAAGTTGCTTTATGGATTTGTGCATAGAATTAGATTAATAGTAACTTTGTTACTAGTTTGTCATTTGAGATTTCCTGTTGCATTTTGTAAGTCTTTCTTTCCATGTGCTGTAATCTGTGTTCTGCCACATAAGCAGTTTGGTTGTCAAATGGTAAACGCAGGCATTTGTGCCAGCAGCCTGATTGCTACAAAGTGCTGTGGCCCATAACCTTGGTATAAAGGAGCTCTGTTTCTCTTTAGCATTCACTCCTGTATCACAACTTAATTAGATTTTTTTTGCTTACAAGGCATGTTTTAGATAGTCATTAGTATTGATTAGCTTTGTTTTAATGAAGATACTGAGAAAATAATTATAAAGGATTTTTAAGAAGTGTGTTGCTAAAATGTCCCACAACTATTTATCTGTAGCACAGATAAAAGCAATACGTTTAGTATTTTTAGATGAAAACACATTCTTTACAGAGCTAAATATACAGGCATCACAATAAATGGGTAGAAGAATATCAACCTAGTAAATTATTAGCTTAATAATTTGCATGGTTTATGTATTTTGATTTTCCTACTCAGAAATGGTCAATGAATTAGTCATTTCAATCAGTTTTGTTCTAAAATAGATTTGCCTGCAAAATGCATGTTTGTTTTGTACTTTGAATGGCTATCAGCTGAATTGCCACTTTTGTCTCACAGGGGTTATCTACTTGAAAAATATGATAACCCAATATTGGCCAGATCGTGAAACTGCACCAGGAGAGATTCCACCGTACTCCATCCCAGAAGAAGATAGACACTGTATTCGTGAAAATATTGTAGAAGCCATTATTCACTCTCCTGAGCTGATTAGGTATGCAGTTTTAACCTGGTTATGAATTGGCTGTGGTTTCTAACTGTTGGGTTTGTTTTTTTTTTTTTTTCTCCCCAGAACTAAGATCACCTGTGTACTAAGCATCATTGTCATACACTGTGTATCCTAAGCATAGAAATAATGTAGATGGAAAAACAGTTTTCAACTTGTGCAGCATGTAGAAATTTAAAGTTCCTCAAATGGAGAATATTAAGCAGAAAGTACAGAACCTAAACCTTCTAAACAAAACTTGAAATAAGTCTAAATTTGGGCAATGTTAGTTGTTTCAACACCACAATAATATTATTAAAATAATAGTAGTAACTTATTTAATAATTGTGCATTTGATTTCTAGAGTACAGCTTACTACTTGCATTCACCATATTATCAAGCATGATTATCCTAGTCGCTGGACTGCAGTTGTGGAGAAAATTGGATTTTATCTTCAGTCTGACAACAGTGCTTGTTGGCTTGGAATCCTTCTTTGTCTTTATCAACTTGTAAAAAACTATGAGTAAGTTTTTTTCTACCATATGAAACAACAGAATTAATAAATTTGTGTGTATTATTTGTATTCTGTATGTATATTGTGACCATGTAGAATTGTGTGTGGGACTGTGCAGAGGTGATAGAAATCTAGTTTTAGAGAATATTCTTGAATACTTGCCATGCAGAGGTTGGCTCATTTATCTTCTCCACTAAGAAATTACAGAAGAACTGCCTTCATTAAAGATTTGAGACCAGAAAAAAGAGAGTATTCTAAAGCCTTAATTTGGTAGTTGTTTTTTATGGATTGATAGCAATAAGAAAGTCTGCTCAAAGTCATGACTTTTGCAGAAGATTATTACTTGTTTAAACCAGGTTTAGACTCTTAAACAATTTGTACTCTAGGTATCAGTGACAGTGAACATATAAAGATTTCAACATGTGAAATCTTGAATGTTAGGAAGTTCCAAATTAGTTGGCTGACTTTGGTATGATCATTTTGATAGCCTCATCCAACCCATCATAGGAAATCTTTCTCAAAGCCCACTGTTCTCCTATATGTAAGGCATTGGGCTAGAATACAGGTCAATGTTCTTTGCTCTGTATCTGATATTATGCTCAGAGCTTTAAAGTTGAGGTTGCACTTTGAGAAGTTATGTGGGGCTTAGCAGCTGCTGCTGCTGGTGTGTAGGAAGCTCATTTGAGCTGGGTCAGAGAAAAGTGCGATCCTGGAGTCTGCGAAATGTTGTAGTGGAACTGATGGAATCCACAACTTTTTCAAAGCACTGTCATGCGTAACATTTTTGTTTCAGGTACTTGACTTAAAATGCTGCATTGAAAAATTTCACTCTAATGAATTTTATGTAAATTAGTGTAAAACAGGTGAATATCAGTTTTCTCAAAAATCCTTTTTTTACAGGAATGCTATAAAGACCTTTGTAATCCCATGTTGGAGTTTATTTGGTGGCTGAAAATTGCAGGTCCTGCTAGGAAAGGAAAATAAACTAATTTCTCACTTGATGTTCAATTTAAACATCTTTAACCAAATGTACAGCAGAGATCTGCAAGATATAAAGCATGAAGTGTTCGCTGGTAGTTTATTATGATTATAGCAACCCTTGTTTAGGGAAGAATTTTGATACGAGCACAGTCATTGCGTGATTAACTAAGGTAACAGGTGTGTTCATAATCTTGGTTGATCAAACACTTCAGCTGAGGCCAGCAACTGCTCATACTTGTTTAGCTTTCTGGTCAAGTCAACAAGGGTCGGTTTCACAAATCATGTAGGAATATGCACATTTCATTGTGTAACAATATGGGTGCAAGCAGGTCTCTAAAATTTGTTAAATTACTTATGTCTGTTATGACTTTGATAAAGTTTTTACTGCTTGAGTTGTAGGAATATTTAGCTATTGAATTTTTTTTCCCCTTAATGTGGAAGGTAAATATCTTGGGGCTTTTCAACAGGTTTTTTTTTTTGCCCTTCAAATCCAGCCAGCAAGATCATATGGCTGCTCTTTGCATAGTTATTTTTTCTGGTCTTTTTCAATAGCGTCTTTTGTGGCAACTAGAAACTGAGTTTTCCTGAGCAACATTTAATCCTTACATTTAAGTTTCTATTTCAGAAAATACATGGAAACTATATTACTGAACAGGATTTTGGAGCTCAGTGTTCTGTAGCAGTTTTTACAGAATATGCCATCTGGCAGCAGATTGAGTAGACTTTATCTTGTATTTCTGCAAATTGGCACTCTTTTAAGAGGCTGAGCATTGATATTTAATATTAGTGAAAAGTCTGCTAAAAATGTATTAAAAAAACCCAAAACCGACAACAACCACCAAACCAAAACCCAACACCCCAACCCAGAAATCTCCCACAAGAGTCCAAGAGTATAATAGTATTAATTGCTTAATCAAAAAATGAAGCTGTATGGTGTTAAAGTGATATTTTACTTTGTTCTTATTATCATCACCAGTATGGACAAGATCCTATTCTGCTGTGATAACTCTTGAGTCAATAAGGACTTTCTTCTTTGTAAGTTAAAATTTGGGGTGAAGATTTCAAAATGCAGCTTCACGTCCTTTCAGGAATTTTGAAATGTTTTGAGAAAGGAAATGGAGCCTTGTTTTCAGGATAGGCAAACTGGTGGACTGTCACCAGCATGGGAAGGTGCGAGCCACTATTTCAAGGCAGTTTGCAATCGAAGCTTGCTCAGAGTCCACCACATAGCCTTCCAGCCTACATTCTCTATCAGATAGTCAGATTTGGGCAAACTAAATGGTAAGATGTGAGAGACATCAGTGGTAAACTGAGACTTCACCATTTACTTTCTTCAATGTCAGTGAAGTAATCTAGCTTCTGGAAATATTTTGATTAATGATGAACTCTGATAAACGTATTTCTTGAATTTTACTGAGTAGCCTAGCATCTGCCGTTCTTGGCAATAAATGTGTACCTTTTGCTTGCAGTTTTTGTAGTGCTCTGATTGCTTTTCACTATAGTAATGGTGTGGCTGAACATGATGAAGTATTCAAAGTGAGTAAGTTGGCAGGAGTGCATTACCAGCAGAAAACTAATGTGGATATATAGTGGAGTAATGGATGCTCAGCGGTTTTCTAACTTGCCTTTTAACTGTAATGTTGTCTGACTATAGCTTTATTTCGAACTCTGTAACAAGAAATGGCTAGGTATTTTTTTTAATCATACGTTGTTATGAATGGTAATATAACCTACTTGTGTCTACACTGGGGGAGATGTGGACTTTTAAAACTCAAAAGCTACCTGAAATGTCTACAAAACTAGTTTGTTCTTATCTAAAGGTACAAGAAACCAGAGGAGCGGAGTCCTTTGATAGCAGCAATGCAACATTTTCTACCAGTTCTGAAGGATAGTTTCATTCAGCTCTTGAGTGATCCATCTGATCAGTCTGTCCTCATCCAGAAACAGATCTTCAAAATATTTTATGCCCTTGTCCAGGTAAAAAATAACTTTGTATGTACTTGATCAGTAATTTAATTTAAAGCATTATACTTTTCCTTAAAATAGTCAATGACAGAACTATTAACAATATTAGATTGCATCCAAATCATTTACCTAAACTACTCAACTGTGTTACAAATCACAGGTTTTTGGTATGCTTGATTGTGCTGTACTTTTACTTTTGTACAGTGCTATTCCTGGTGGCATTAGATAGAACTTATGCACACCATCCTGTAAGGTAGAGTGTTTGCTAGAAAACAGATTAGAAAATCAGTTTTCTAATGACATTGTAGAGGCCAGCCTACATAGAATTGCCAGTGTAAATGCAGCAGTTTGGAATGAACAGTTAATATGCTCTTAATTGCTTCAGAAATTGGTGTAACATCCATTTAAGTAGTGTCTTAGCATTGCATAAGCAGAGTGTATTTGAGTAAAGACCTCTAGCACTTTTGAGGATATTGAGGATATAGACTAGGTTGTGTTAAGTTCTTTAGCCTGGTTTTCCGAGACATTTGCTAATCTTTCATGGTAGCTAAGTGTAGACAAAGATTTGAAAGAGCTAAAATTCAAACTGAAAGTAACATTATTTTCGTATTGCTTTATAATACATTTGTCCCCCCCCCCCCCCTTTTTTTTTTTTAAATAAGTACACATTACCTTTGGAGTTGATAAATCAGCAAAACCTGACTGAATGGATAGAAATCCTGAAGACTGTTGTCGATAGGGATGTACCAGCTGTAAGTGGCTTTTGGCTTTTTGTATCTTTAAGCTTAAATATTTTTCATTTGTTAGAATGTTAAGAAGTTTAGCTTTTTATTTCTGCATTCTTTTTTCTCAACTGATGCCAAGAAAATAAATTTTTAAGCTAAATAGGGTGTTTTAAACAGACTAGACAAATTTTGAAAATGTGTAGCTTGTATGGGAGTTCTATTGTTTTCAAATTATAGCACAGCTTATTTTGGCTTCTTGTTTAAAGAATTTGTTGACCACTTATGCAGCCTATATCATGGAATTTATTTTTAGATATTCTGTACTATATACTTCTATTAAGCTAGAAGTGCAAATGGCAGGTTAAAAACAAAATATGCTATATAGTTTTTCAAAATACATATAATTTGAACTCTTTGTGAATAGTTGGTAAATAATATTCCCCCCTCCCCCCCCGGCCCCAAAAGGAAACCCTTCAAGTTGATGAAGATGATAGACCTGAGTTGCCTTGGTGGAAATGCAAGAAGTGGGCTTTGCATATCTTAGCTAGACTTTTTGAGAGGTATGTTCTTTTCCATTATTATTTTTAAAAAACCAAGCAAGTCTTCAAGTCAGTAATATTGCTGCACCCTTGAATTTGCATACTTGCTTCTAATTCTAGGTATGGAAGCCCTGGTAATGTTTCCAAGGAGTACAATGAGTTTGCTGAAGTGTTCCTGAAGGCATTCGCTGTTGGTGTTCAGCAAGTAAGAAACACTGAATGTATGGGGTATTAGGATAAGTTCAGAGTTAGTAGTGATTTCTTATTTCACTATTTTCTGAAAAGGCTTCTTGTTCTTCTTCATAGTTGGTTTTTTTTTAAGTACATTGGTATGGAAAGCACTGAAGTCTGTGGGTAAAATGAAAAGAATTATTAAAAGAATTATTAATATGTCACATAGGACAATCCACTGAAAATGGCCTATGCATCACTGATAATCTGTAAACAGAGTAAATGCTCTCATATAACAAGCCCTCAGGTGAGCTTCAGATAAATGCTATCAATTTTTCTCGTTCTGGAAGAGATAGGTATAATATTTATATGGTGTAGTTGACCTTCTTACCTACCCTTTTAACTCTGATGATACAGTTCTTCTTTCACTCAAAGTCAGTAAATACTAAGCTTTCTAGCCTTCTGCAAAAACCTGATCAAGCAGAGGCTTGCTTACAAACAGGTAAGTATGATGGTCACTTTCCACTCATCTCCCTGTCTGGGGGTTGCAACTTCTGCAGGGTCTGTTACATGCAAAGCATCTTTTGGACTATAGCAGTTTCTAACCTGATGTATTGATTTTATACCGAACTATCCTTCATTTACCTTTATTGGAGTAACTTCATGATTCAGATAGTCCTACCACATGGCAGCAAGCTACAGGTTTTCCTGAAGGGACGGAATGGATTGGTAGGGCAGGAATTGTCATCTGCCTCTTATAGTGCATGTGTTTCAAGTCAGTAATCTGAACTTTTTGAATTAGCAAGAAAATTCTCATGAGTATTGGGAAAATTTTGGATCTGTGACTTCTGTTATTTTGAAACAAGTTTATTTATAAAAAAACTTCAGGTATTTTTTGTAAAATTGCCTTGTACTGGCCCACAAATCTGTTTACATTAATATGATTAGGTTGTAAATGTAAATAGACTATTAATTTATGAAAATCTCAGGGAGTAGAATGTTTTCTTCAAAGCCTTTATTCAGAAGAACAGTTCTTAGTTCAGTTTCAGTTTTCTTAATTTTCATTCCTAATGAAAGTATAATGAATTACAGGACTTTAAAAGAGGAAAAGTAGGGAGAGTATCTCTTAAATACATGGTTTTTTGAAGGTCATCTGAAGTATTGAAAGGGAAAAGAACATTTATCACAATCTATCCCAAGATTCTACTCAGACAAGTAGAGTCAGTGTCACCTTCTGAGGTGCTCATCTGTCACCTGTAGATGACATCAGACAGATAATTATTACATGTTCTTTAAGACCTTACTGATCGCTTTGTACTTCCAAGATAAGACAAACTTCTGACAAAAGACTGTATGGGCAAAAAGTCTTTGAAAAAATAAATTTAAACAGTTGAACAAAATACTTCCATGTTTTTTCTTTTCATTTTCTTTCAATCAACTTTGATCCTTACTGCATCTAGGAAACGCCAAGAATTCAAGTCTTGCTTTTTAGCAATTTTCTTTAAAGACTTTAAAATGCTTACAGTTTCTTCCTATACAATAATGTAATTTGCTTAGAAATACAGATTATTTTTAAGGCACTGTCCTCTATTTCTGTGCAGAAGATAAATCTTGGATGTATGCTCAAGAAATTGAATGCTTCAGATAAATGTTATGGAAGATTTTTGAACAGCATGTACTTCTTTACAAAAATTGGAAATCTGTGAAATACTGAAGAATACAAATTCTGATAGTATGCTTCACTGAGTTCTCTTTACTCTCCAAAGTGTATGCAGCCTTTTACTGAAGGAGTAATAGATAAATATATGGTATGCGTTTGCAGGTTGTTCAAGTATAAACTTGAAACATGCTGCTAATAATATTCTCATAATTACTTGTCATTGATTATTCTTTTTATCTACTCTATATCTTTTTGTCATGTGCATGTCACCAGCTGCCCTCCCCCCCCCCCCCCCAAAAGAAGAAGAAAAAAAAAATTCCAGTACATTCAGCATTAGTTGTAGCTAAACTTTCTTAAGCTTGGCCAAAACAGGCTGAGCTGCCTAGCTGGAATACCTTGATTCTTATCCGTTGTGTTAGCAGCTGTTTTGCTCAAGACATTTCTCATTTTGAAAGACTTGATGAGCCAGAACTAAGCCCTGGTTGAACACTACTGTCTGGTTGTTCCTTGGCACAGTTGCAGAATGTTCTTTATTTGCCCTCGAGCGTCCATCCCACATTCTGCTTTTCCTCACTGCAATTCTTAAACCTTTTCTTAATCTTTTTAATTTCTTTACTTATTGCATCTGAATCATGGAACTGCTTACATTTGTGGAAAGAGAGGACCAAAACACTTGTCCTAAGTAGTGTGGCTGCAAAGACCATTTGTTTAGGCCTCAGCTTTGTCCTCATTTCCAACACTGTTCCCCACCCCTTTATTGACTATTAATGAATTTAGGCTTTTCTGTGTGCTGTCCTGTTACATTGAAGAATCTCTCTCTCAAAAAAAAAAGAAACTTCAGATCCTTCTAAAATTAAAATATACCAGCAAACTGGACCTTCTTGTATAAGGTTTTCCACAGAGAAGATTGTATTACTGTATGTTAAGTTCTAGTTTGCTGAAGACCCAGGATTACTGCTTATGCCTAGAACAAAGAAAACCAATTTATATTTTTTAAATCTTTCTGAGCTGCCACCATGGTGTGACTTAGGCCACAGAGCCTGTTTCAGATCCATGCATTATAAAAGTTCAGTATATGATGTTAATATAGTGATGGTAGTTTCTTTATTGCTTGTGTTGACATTTATAACGGAAGCCAGTCTTTAGAGTGTCATGTACACTGTGTAAAACTGCAAGAAATCCCAGTCCTCGTTAGTTTCCTGATTACTTCTGGAAGGATTGTATGTAAGGCTTACCATCAGAGAAGTAAAATATGTTGCATAGTTGTTTACATGTTTAATCAATTTTGTTACAAGTTAGACTCTTTTTAATGATTAACATTCTTCTTAATTGTTCTAACTTCAAGAAGCATGTTAGTCTTACCAGGTATTCATGTTTTACTGATTTTGGAAGTTACAAACATCTGTCACTATTTTTGCAGAGAAGAATTTTCTCTTTCAATTAGTTCACAAGAGACTAAAAAGGAATTTTGACATATGTATTCTTTGATAATCCTTGAAACAGCTGTAAGTCTGAACATTTGCTCTCTTTTCCTTTCCTACTCTAATTCAGTATCTAATGCCACCAAAGCCTTGTACTCCTCTTTAAACTCAAGTGCGAGGCATCTCCTTTGGGAGAGATGCTTCAGTAGTTGTGTAATGTTATCAGTGGAATTACTTTTCAAAATAATGAATCTCATTTTCCCAAAATGTTTTCTTGGTGATATTACAGATTGATAGATATTGGTTCCTTCAGTTTTGGATTTTAAAACATTGTTGTTCTATATGAAGAATTAAATGAAACCCTGGAAATGGGATTTTTCATTTCTCTCCAGTTCGTGCTGCTGCTCTTGAAGGTGCAGTGTTACTACTGGCCTGGATTGGGCTACAAGGAAATCCCCTTGCATTACCCATACCAAACTTTCCAGTGAGCTGGAAATTAATTACTAGTAATGGTCCCATGTCCATTCCATCTCCTTATTTGTGGAAAGCCATGGACTTGAACAAACGTAAATCGCTGTTGTCCTGGTTTCGGCTGGGATAGAGTTGACTGTCTTCCTAGTAGCTGGTGCAGTGCTATGTTTTGAGTTCACTGTGAGAAGAATGTTGATAACACACTGATGTTTTCAGTTGTTGCTAAGTAATGTTTAGACTAAGTCAAGGATTTTTCAGCTTCTCAAGCCCAGCCAGCGAGAAAGCTGGAGGGGCAACTGAAGTTGGCACAGGACACAGCCAGGGCAGCTGACCCAAACTGGCCAATGGTGTATTCCATACCATGGGACGTCACATCTAGTATATAAAATGGGGGGAGTGGGGGCGAGGGGATTGCTGCTCGGGGATTAGCTGGGTGTTGATCGGTGGGTGGTGAGCAGTTGCACTGCGCATCATTTGTATATTCCAATCCTTTTATTATTACTGCTGTCATTTATTAGTGTTATCATTATTAGTTGCTTCTTTTCTGTTCTATTAAACTGCTCTTATCTCAATCCATGAGTTTTGCTTCTTTTCCCATTTCCCCCCCCATCCCACAGGGTGGGGGGGGAGTGAGTGAGTGGCTGTGTGGTGCGTAGTTGCTGGTTGGGGTTAAACCATGACACCTGTGAATAGTTCTGAATGCTACCTCAGGAGAAGAATTGAGGCCAGAAGGCCAAGGGGAAAGGCTGGTTCATCATTCTTCATACACATACGTTCTTCATACAGCGTTGTTGCTGTAAGGCTGCACATAGGCAAGAATCAGTAGACTGCGTGAGTGTAGAGTATTTTACCAGTCCAGTGTTTGGGCATGAATTTCTGCCCCCAGAGAGTCGTAAGATGTAATAATAAACCTTGGACAGAAAGGACTGCTGTACCATGTTGGTGATGAATTAGCATGTATGTTTTGTCTTATTAAAGGATTGTATTTTTAAAAGATGTGCAGCACCTGCTATGAGCTGCAAATTGCCTTGGAAAATTAACAATGACATTTAGTAGAAGGATTAGTCAGTACCCATTTTAGTCTGATGAATAAATAGGGGGGGGGGTTTGTTGGATTTAGAGGGGTTCTCATATAGGATTGTGAGGTAGGGTAGAATTCTTGTGGTTAAATGGTCTGTGCTCAGTATAAACTATTGATGAAATCTGATTTTTCTAGGTGTTGCTGAAGGTGTTGTATCAATACAAGGAAAAGCAGTACATGGCTCCTAGAGTTCTGCAGCAAACACTGAATTATATCAATCAAGGAGTGTCACACGCAGTCACCTGGAAGAATCTGAAACCTCATATTCAAGTAAACCATTTTGGGGGTTTAATACTTGGATGACTCAGTCATACATTAGTCAGTCTGTTGTATAGTGTTTCTATCCTTGGTAGAATTCAAGTTTTAGGGACCTCTGTTATAAATTGCTGGTGGAAGGAATTTAAGCGTGTTTGGTGAAGGTTACCTTGATACATGAGCAAAGCTAGCTAATTGCTTTTTTTGCTGTCAGTCCTTTGTGCTTTAACATATTAAGGATTACAGCGTAACACAGCAACACAACAAATTTGGAGATGCTGTTAACTACTGAATTTATGACATTGAATCATCTCCACATACCATTATCCAAAGCAAATCTAATAGCTTGCGCTGTGTTGTAGCTCTGCCTTAAGTTAAAAGATCTATTTGTTGTAAGGTAGCACATAACATCCACTATGTCCAAATAGTTTTAGGATGTTACCATTTTATGTGAGAAGTGACAGGATGAACAATCTGTGAAATACAGGATGGAATACAGAGATTGATTTAGTAGTGCTAGCCTGTTTTCAACTTTTTCTTTATTGCAGGGAATTATCCAAGATGTTATTTTTCCATTGATGTGCTATACAGATGCTGATGAAGAGCTTTGGCAAGAAGATCCATATGAATATATTCGCATGAAATTTGGTGAGAATTTGAAATCTGCTCATGTTAAAATATGACTTCACACGAAGATGGGATTTTTTGTAGTTTTTTGTGAAAATAAGAGATGGCTTTAATCTTTAAAAGGGGAAAAAAACCCAAACAGTTTGTATTATCCAAACAATATAACTTCATATAGTTAACTTTTGGTTATACTGGTAGAAATGACAGATACCATATGACAGTCAGCAATGACACAGGTGTTTCTGCACTTGAAAAAGTAGCTAATTTTGACAGTTACAAAGTTTTTGTTTTAAGTCAAATTGTCCAGGTTTTGCTAAAAATAATTACATAAATTTAATGTTATTAAAAGTTTATGCTTTACAACAGCTATTATTTCAGGCCCTGGAGTTTTTACAATCTTAAGTAATTTCACATGTGGCACAGTACAGAACAGATTTACCGTAATGGTAAATGACATTATGAAGTAAGCCTAGCATTCCAGACTTTTCTAATTTCACCTCCTGTGGCTTGCTACTTTGTTGTTGGGGTTTACTATTAAGTCTATGCAGTCCTGTCAGGCTGGGGAAGAAAGAAGATACTTCATACTTCCTGAACAAATTCTTCCTTCCACTAGGACTTTTATATGGCTAGAACAAGGAATCTTGATGGGTTTGGGAGTTTCTTATCCCTCAGGTCAAAGGCAGACCTGTAAACAGTACAGATATTATACAAGGCTCTGATAATCCTCTTCTGCAGAAAAATAAGAAACTGAGCATTTTTAACTCAATTATGTATGCTAACCTGTACAGCAAATAGAATATATGTTAAAAATTGACTGCTGTGTCTGCTTCTACTGTTACAAAAGATTTATCTTAAAAATAAGGAAGACATACAATTTCAAATTAGACATGTAGAGCCAGTGATCGCAAAAAAGGTGAAACATACATATTGGGAATCTCCAACCATGTGTTACTGGTTTTTGGTCTTGGAACATCTGTAGTAAGAAAGTGTGATTAACCACCTGGAAAAAAAGGAAATTTTTTGCTCTTTTATTTCATATTAAATTATTAGGTTACATTAGGATCATGAACTGTAGTAAAGGATGAAAATTTATAGCTGTTATATGTTTACTTAATAGATGTATTTGAAGACTTCATTTCTCCAACAACTGCTGCTCAGACATTATTGTTTACATCATGTAGTAAAAGGAAAGAGGTAAACTATTCAAGCATTTTACTTCAATGTTAAGTAGATTCAGTTTATAGTCTCCATTTGCTGAAAGAACTACTAATAAGAGTTTTACTTCTCTGCTCTCTGTCATATCATAGTACACTAAAATTTATCACTTCTCTCAAATTTACTTTGCACTGGTCTAAAATCACACATTTTACTGTGATTTTTTGTATTTGCCAGTTCCCCTACGACCTATCCATCAAGAATGTTGTGTGTTTATAACAAAGACATAAAACATTACCCAATTCCAGACTTGGAGCAGATTCTTAGATTTAAACATTTCAGAGCACTGAGAATGGTACCTGAGATGATTGATTGAAATACTTTGACTAACCTTACATGTAATCTAGGTCTTGCAGAAGACGATGGGCTTTTGTTATCAGATCCTTACGGAGCCAAATGCTGACCCTCGTAAGAAAGATGGTGCTTTACATATGATCGGTTCTTTGGCTGAAATTCTTCTAAAAGTAAGCATAACAAATCTGGTGGTTCTTCTGGTTCATTTTTTTTTTTTCCCCTCCTTTCCTTTCTTTCACATATACTGTCTCAGAAGAAATGAGAATAGCTCTTTGAGTTTACAAGTTTTTGAATAACTGCCAGTTGTTTTTAAAGCTGTTGAACGTAATTGTTTTGGTTTTGTTGCCAGCTTAATTACAGAAGTTTTATTAGGTTGTGTTCAAGTTCAGATTATTGTTTTAAGTTCCTTGAAGTTCTCTGCTTCTAGTAAGAATTGCTACACCTTTTCCTGTGCTACACTTAACCACGTTCCCTTTTTTTGTTGAAGAAAGGAAAAAAAAAATCCATCCAGTGAGAGGCTGTTAATTTAATGAGACCTTTTCTGTGTGTAGAAGAGAGAAAATAAAGTGAAATTAGCAACCTTGCTCAATTAGAATGGTAGCAAAAAAGAGGCAGGGCATGGACTTGTATTTGAACCACAGCTCTGAGAAGTTTCCCTGACTACTTTTGCTTTTGATACTAGAGTAATGTATTGCCAAGCAAAGGGTTTTTATAGGAGTCAAAAAATTATAGGAAAAAAAAGTGTCACTATTTTGACTGAAAATTATAAAAGTAGGATCCAAGTTTAATTACTAATACGGGATTTCATTGTTGCTTAATGGACTTTAATAAAGGGGAAAGTTAAAAGTGAGGGTTTTGTTATGCTGTTCACACTTGTGACTTTTTTACTGGATTAGAAATGCATTTTTATATAAAGTTTTAAACTGATGTGTTTCTATTCATATTCTGACAGAAGAAGATATATAAAGATCAGATGGAATATATGTTGCAGAATCATGTGTTCCCTCTCTTCAGCAGTGAGCTGGGTTACATGAGAGCACGGGTAAGAAAGTGTAAGATTTACTATTAAGATACACCGTTCCAACTGAAGAGTTCAGGAATACTCTTTAAGTTTTTCCCTCTAACAAATGCACTCCTTTCTGCACCTTTTCTGTGATAAATTTTATGCTTATTTCAGAGATTAGTATCAGTCTTTATGTATGATTACAGATAGCTACCGTGTAGTTCTAAAATGGCTGCAGAATTGTGTGCATAGTTTTCCATCTGTGTCTGGTGGTATGGTCTATTTGTGTTTTGCATTTAGACTGTACTGCTCACACAAAACCTGTGGCCAAAGATGAACTTGAGATCATAGTACTGGTCTAGTGATGTCTGAAAGACAAGCCTCCCACTGGCCAGCCTCCACACTCTCAAACATCTTCATCTGTTAAAAAAAGTTTTACGGTATCTTTATTCAGCAGTAATTGTACTTCAGATTTAATGATTCATGTAGGTTATGGGTATACAAGTAGTTGATAATCCTGTTTGTAGGTTTCGTAACTATTAATTTCTTCAATGTCTTTTTTTCAGGCTTGTTGGGTTCTTCATTATTTTTGTGAAGTCAAATTTAAGAGTGACCAGAATCTCCAGACAGCCTTAGAACTCACAAGACGGTGTCTGATAGATGATAGGGAAATGCCTGTGAAAGTGGAGGCTGCAATAGCACTTCAAGTCCTGATCAGTAATCAAGAGAAAGGTAGCCCTCTTTTCTTAAAGCTACAACAAACTTTAATGGAATAGGTATTAATATTGCGATGTTCAGGGAAACTTGTTCTCTTCTTTCCTGATGTTAATTTACTTCTTGCAATTGTAATTTGTAATCACTTATTGTAACTTTCCAGCTGGAAAATTTTATATTTTTCATAAATGACATTATCACAACTTCATGGTACAATAAATCCAGTTTTACAGCACCTACTCATTGAATCAGAAATACAGTGGCAATATAAGCATATCTGTCTTGGCATACATTCATTCATGTTAATTTTTTATTATTTTTTTTTAAGTTGTCTTTATCCTGGCAGGCTTTACATTGCTTAGTATTCCTGAAGCTGGCATAAAAGCCCCAAAGCAAACATAAATTCTATATCAAATACTTTGGCTAATTTGACAAAAAGGCATACGTACCCATTCCTGTTCAATCAAAATTTGCATTGATAAGTAATCTTGCATTCCGTAAAGACTGTAGAACTCTGGTTTTCATACTTCAGTTGTGATCACCTTGGTATACATTTTTATTAAAAAATATTCTGAATGTTAGTATTGCTATAATGATTTATACTACCCACATTTTTGGTATGTTAATGCCAAAGCACTCAATATTAATGAAGTATATATTGACTTTCTTATACTGATACTGTAGTTTTGTAAGAATGTCAATTCAAATATTTCCATTTGTTTTACAGCGAAAGAATATATTACTCCGTTCATTAGACCTGTAATGCAAGCTTTACTTCATATTATAAGAGAGACTGAAAATGATGATCTTACTAATGTGATTCAGAAGATGATCTGTGAATATAGTGAAGAAGTTACCCCAATTGCAGTAGAAATGACACAACATTTGGTAAGACTTTCTGGTGACTTAGGAAGATGTTTAATACGTGCAAGATTGGTATTTAAAACTAAGGTAGTTGTCCACTGATTAATGTCTGTTGTTACTCCAGTCTGCTTAAGTGCATTGATACAAGTAATTTTCTTCTACATTTAGATAGTTTTTTCTCAGAAGTGGCTTCATCGCTTGAACTAAACAGAAATTTCTAAGAATGATTGTAGAAATGTTTGAGAAATCTTTGGACGTATTTTCTCCTGGTAGTGTTGTTAATGAATTTTGGTAGCACATTTTAGGTAGTCTCTACAATGTGACTTAGGTTTTCTGTTTTAAAATGGAAAATTAAAGAGCAGATTTTCAATAAAAAACTTGGTGTGAAAATAATGTTATGTTGCATGTAATGTGAAAATAAAATGGCATCTGCAGGAGAAATTCAGAGCTTGAATGGCGATATCTAGCAAGTTGTACTAATGGTTTTAAAAGCGGAGGTCAGGTCAGTGCTTTCCTATTAAAGGCCCTTGCCTTGGAGTTACAACTAAACTGTTTGCATGTCCTCTGTGGGAATGCCTGCAAAGTGGTCCAGTCTAGTTCCGCTACCAATTAACTTGTGTCAGAAAAACTTACTCGTAGGAAATGTATTCTTTTGCATGGAAAGTAGTGTCATTTATATCTTTTTGTTCGTGAATGGATAAAGGATGACAGCTCAAATGGCTTAACATTCAAATTTTATCAGTCTTGAAAACAAACTCTGGAATGGAGTAGTCACCTTCTAATATTCATACACTTTTTCTTAGCAGAAGTCATCCTTAAATTGTGTAGAATACCAGACTTGCACCATCGTTCTTCATCTCCAAGCATGTCCTCATTAAATGATGTATTTATGGGTTGTTTTGCTATTACATGCAGGCAATGACATTTAACCAGGTGATCCAGACTGGACCAGATGAAGAGGGCAGTGATGACAAGGCAGTGACAGCAATGGGAATCTTAAATACTATTGATACACTTCTCAGTGTAGTTGAAGATCACAAGGAAGTAAGTAAAAATTACTTTAAAGCTAATATGTATTGTCCAAGACACTGAAAGCCTGTTGTAGTTCCAGTGTTCCTGACATTGTTATCTGAAAAAGTGTCCTTTTCAGCCAAAAATATCTTAAACTGGAAAACAGTGAAGTACTTATCATGCAACAAAGTTGTAACAGAGTGGGTCACATTTCTAACACAATGCTTGTAGTTATAGAGCATAAATGTTGCCACAGTATTTCTCGTAAGAATCCAGGTTCTTGTTCAAATAAGTGGAAGCAACTTGTCTGTAACAGATGGAACTGTCAGCTCATCTGGAAAAACCCATCTGATTTGATGAGGTCTGCCCTTCAAAGAAAATAGATAAAACTTCAGTTAGCTTTGAACATTGACTGCTGACTTAGTTTGCTTTCTGCAACAGAATCAATGTCTGTACGTACAGCTGTTGTGGCTATGCTAAATGGTAGGGCTTTTTAAACCTGCCTAATCTGCACCATAGAATTCTCCAGTGTGATGAAAACTTTTGTTACTTAGTTTTGTTGTACTGAATGGACTAACTTCTGTCCAGAGTACAGCTTGTTCAAAAGATGCTATTGCTGATTAAAATCCTCTTGACAAAGTCAGCTACTGTTTTTTGATAAATACATTATAGTTTTTTAGTGACTAAATAGTTCAGTAATAAATTGTACTCTTGAGGTTCTGAAGACTTCACTAAGGAAGCAGCATAATACAAATTCTGAACGCCCAAGGGCAGAAGCCAGTGCTGCCATGCAATAAACCAAGGACCAGTTTGGCTCATTTACTTGTTGCTAAAGCTGCTCGGCAAGCTTTTCATGTACTTGTTTTTGTCAGCATATTCTTGCTATCTAAATGAAAAGTTTGTGTAATGATATGCTAGTCCTGAGGAACTCAACTGTAAAATGTTGATCAGTAAACACTTATATTTAGAGACATCTCACACAGGATGCCCAGTGTTCCAAGAGGTAAGGTATTTAGCAGGTTAGTTTCAAATCCTGTTCTGTATAGCTAAGACCACAAACTCAACCCTTATTTGTCCCTATGCAAGGTAAGTGCCCTGAACAGGTGAATGACTGTTTTGTTAGCTGTTCCATGGACTAATAAATACTAATTGGGAAGAGTGTCTGAATCTGTAGACCAGCATTTAGACTGTTTGTCCACATACCATGTGAACATCCTCAGCTAGGTTTGGGAGGTGGCTTGGTATTTGTTTGGTTTTGGTTTTGTTTTGAAATTTCACTTTTCCAGAACAGCAAATACTTCCTTTAACTTCCATTGCTTACCCTTTTGATATATATAAATTTACTTAACTGTGTTTTAATGGAACTGAACTGTTGCATAGGGTTACTGTCAGGCTTTTCTTTTTAAAGGATACCGTAAAATGAGATTCTTCCAATATTCAAAGAATACTCCAAAACCAGCTTGTATTAAAAGCTATCTTACAAACCCTTAGCTAAGAGTGCTGCTTTTACACATTTAGTGGTCTAAAATGTGAGAAATTTTTAATTGCTTTTAGAAGACTATATTGTGTAAATAGAAACTGCTTTGAGTAATTTTATTTGAAAATGTGTTTAATTTCAACTCCAAAGTATTGAAAACAGTCATAAATCTCCTTTTTTCAGATTACCCAGCAGCTGGAAGGGATCTGTTTGCAAGTGATTGGAACAGTTTTGCAGCAGCATGTATTAGGTATATGTATTTCCGTTGGCTTATTTATTTAAGTGTGTGCGATTGGCATTAAATTTACCTCTATTCTGTTTGTTTTAGAGTTCTATGAGGAGATCTTTTCCTTGGCTCATAGTCTGACCTGTCAACAAGTTTCTGCACAAATGTGGCAGCTTCTTCCGCTTGTTTTTGAAGTCTTTCAGCAGGATGGCTTTGATTATTTTACTGGTAAGTAATACAAATAAATCAGAAAGCCAGATGGTTTCATATATGTGATTTCAACCATACAATGAATTGCATCTTGATTGAAATGTTAGAAGAACACTGAAGTGAGGTTACACTTGAAGTATTTTACTCTGCTGTTGCTACAACCAGACTTGTTTTGCTAAGGCATCTATGAATAGTAGATGCATGCTTATCTTGACAAACATTAAGCAAGACTGCAATTAACTTATTAATACATAGATTTCAGCCTGATTTTAACAGCTCGTCTAATAAAACATGCAAACAATATCTAACTGTGAACATTCTTTTTTTAATACAGACATGATGCCTCTCTTGCATAATTATGTTACTGTTGATACAGATACGCTTCTGTCAGACACAAAATATCTTGAAATGATCTACAGTATGTGCAAGAAGGTAAGTAGATTCCTTTGTGATAACAAAACCTGTGATCTCTGAAGTAATACACTGTTAAACTGGGTGCTTTTTTCCACAACAGCAGACTGAAACTGAAGAATTTTGATGTCTGCTCTTAAAGCTATTTAACATTCTCTGTGATTCCACAAATTATTAAGTTATTGTGGAGAAATCTAAAGAGGTTGCATCAAATTTCAGACATATGCTTTTGCTAAAAGGGAAGAATAAATCATATACAACAAAAGCGGATTAAACAGCCCAGAGTTTTGTGCATGTGTGTTTTGTGTAATACACTTTGTGCATGGGCATGCAAAACAGGCGTATGCATATTGCAAAAGGTAGATGGTTTTTTTTCATCTGAGGTTTGTAGCCTTGCTATGGCTAGGATACCACATACCATATGTATGCTAAAGTCTTAAATCTATTAGCTAAACCAAGTGGAGTAGGGATGGAAAGTAGAGGGATAGGAATAGGAAGTTATTTTCCGAAGTTTGTGCCAAGTCAGTGATGAAAGCTGGGAGCAGAATGCAGTTGTTGTCAGTCCAGTCACTTTTGGGCAGTGTTTCTGTATTTAACTTAGCTTCTCAGCTCCTGTGTATTATAGGTAGCTGCCAACTGGGCTTTCTTTATCCAATCAATATGTAGAATACAAAGCTTTCCAGAATGTTAGCCCTATGTGTGGAAATGAATAATTCTTTATAAGATGGTGTTAATATTTTATAATCTCTAATACTAATCTGTGGGGATTTCAGTTTTCCGCTTCTGGATATCATGTGTTGTGTCTATATAAGAGCTATGATGAACTGTCAGCTGCCCTGCCCATGGTATTTCCTGAGTAATTCTTTTGAAGCTGTTTAAATATTATAGTGAATAACTCTTGACAGCCTTTATTTGAAAACAAGGTGCAACCAGGCTGACTAAACTGATTTTATAAATAAAAAAGAAATAAATATATATATTGTATATATAGATTGTATAAATAAAAAAGAAAATTAGCCTGTTATAACCTCTTAGTGATTAGTGTTTTATTAGCTGAGCACAGTGAATCTTTAACACAGAAGTTTTAGGTATTGCATGGTCTCCCACTGGATATCCGAAGTTTGTAAATACCATTTTTATGAAATTCAGTACACGAACATGTAAGAAAAATTTTTGTTACATGTAAGGAAATAAACCTTTGCAAAATGCCAGCTGATGCTTATACAGTTACTGTTGTAAGCTCCGCGTCCATAGAGTTATTGAATATTTGTATATGTAGATTAGTTTTACCTGCATTCAGCAACATTTCAGTCTCTAGTTGTGATACTGAGCCATTGCTGTAGATTTGGCTGCTTCACTGATGGATGTTTATTCTAGCATTGTAATAGAGTGGGAGAATTTATATTAGCTTTTCAAAGCAAAGCAGTATATAGAAAATACTTCTTGAAGGGATACTGTCAACATTAATTGTTATTTTTCAGGTTCTTACAGGAGTTGCTGGAGAAGATGCAGAATGTCATGCAGCAAAGCTGTTAGAAGTGATTATTCTTCAGTGTAAAGGGCGCGGCATTGATCAGGTTGGTAACAACTTTGGTTGCTATAACTAATATTTTAAAAAGATTTTATTCTCAAATATTAATTGATTATGTGTTAACATGAGTTCTCTTCTGAGAAGTTTGTGTAGTGTGACTAATAATCTTGTGTTCTACTTTAGTGCTACTCAATTAACAGCACTGCAGAGTTAGTTACTGCACGCTTTGTCTCCAGAATTTAGGACACTGCGAAACTCCAGTGTTTTCCAGAATCTGGAAGAGTACTGCTTTAGGTGCATCTTTGTTCTAGAAGTCGATTATTTATATTCTAAGTTAATTCTAGTGAATACTTCATGAAAACTATTCAGTCTGTTAAGTTAACAGCCTTGAAATAAATAAGAATGAAAATGAAGTTCCTGGAATCCCAGTTGATGTCATAGAGGAACCAGGGACTTCGTTATGCACGTATGGAAGTTGGAATTTGAGAGATGAATTTGTGTGCTTCCGCTGTGTACATGACAAGCACTGTAAATAGCTTTCTAAATGTTTTTTGCAAGCTTTTTAATATTTGTGGATATGGTCCTTGGAAACTTTAATTTTTAATATATTTGAAAGAATATCTTCTATAGCTTTTTTTTTTTCAGTGTCACATCTCTGAAGAGACTATTCCTTTGAATAGCTGTTTTCTTGGAATGTTAGTAATATCTCTTGACTGGACTTCCTAGTGTACATATTAACTCTATTTTTCATTTTTAAAACACAAGATATAGAACCAGGAATTACATCTACTGTGCATGATGTCACAAAATCCATGTGCTTGGAGTAGATAAAATATTTTCACTTTTTCATTTCATCTTTGTTTATGACTTCTGGCAATTAAAAATTATTCCTGTTTTATGCCCTCTGTGTTTATGCGCCAGACTAGTTTTATGCCATTTCTCAGCTTTAGTGTGAAATACAGAACTACAAAATTTATTTTTGATCACTAAATTTATAATGGTTCTCACTCTTCAGTGCATACCCTTATTTGTGGAAGCTGCATTAGAGAGATTGACCAGAGAAGTGAAAACAAGTGAACTGCGAACAATGTGCCTCCAGGTTGCCATAGCTGCTTTGTATTACAATCCTCATTTACTATTAAATACATTGGAAAATCTTCGTTTTCCCAATAATGTGGAGCCTGTCACCAATCACTTCATAACACAGTGGCTTAATGACGTGGACTGTTTCTTGGGGTAAGTGTTTCTAATTTTGAAGATTATTCTCTGTGATACACCTCTGCATTATAGGCTTGTAAATCATAACAAAACTTGCAACTTTTTTACTCTGTTGTTTTGTAGACTTCATGATAGAAAGATGTGTGTGCTTGGCTTGTGTGCTCTTATTGATCTGGAGCAAATACCACAGGTTTTAAATCAAGTTGCTGGCCAGATCCTGCCAGCTTTTATCCTTTTATTTAATGGATTGAAAAGAGCATATGCCTGTCATGCAGAGCACGAAAATGACAGCGATGATGATGATGAAGCTGAAGAAGATGAGGAAACAGGTATGGAAACTGAAACATTACTGTTACTTTATATTTTTCATTTTCTCTGATGGAGATGCAGAGTTCCTTTGTGGAAATCTTCAAAGTTCCCTAATTCCAAAAATCAAAAGCTGTGGTAGAAAACATTGGACATCTTTTAATGACTTTAAAGCATATCTGACTTACTTTCCAGTCACTCTTAAAAACTTAACTTCCTAGGCTGAGTTTCTTCAAAGTCACATCAAACTAGTGTGTGGATGCTGTCATTGCTGAAAGGAATTATTACTGAGGCATGTTTCCCATTTCAGTGAGGGCTAAGAGTCAGTAGAAGGAGTTTCCAGGGATCCTTCTAATCCATTGTACCGTTTGGACTATATATTACAAGCTGTCGCAGGAGCTGCTGGTGTTTTAGCTCTGTATTGAAAATGACAGTTCTTGTGAATTCCCCTCCTCCCTGGACTAATGGCACTAGGCGAGGAGTTCAGTGAGCTTCCCCTTTCCTAGTCTGCACTGTTTTCCGTTCCATTGCCTGTTCTGCATAATCGGCCATCTTCGTGAAGAGTCGTTCTTACTATTCTTGAGATGATAAACTTTTTTGTGTGTGTGATATTTAACTCAGAGGAATTGGGGAGTGATGAAGATGACATTGATGAAGATGGTCAAGAATATCTAGAAATTCTAGCAAAACAGGCAGGTGAAGACGGAGATGATGAAGACTGGGAAGAAGATGATGCTGAAGAGACTGCTTTGGAAGGCTATTCCACAATTATTGATGATGAAGACAACCCTATTGATGAATATCAGATATTTAAAACAATTTTTCAGAGTAAGTAACTTTATTTCCTTTCCTGGCTAACAAGTTATATTTTAACTTAATTTTAGTGTATACTGTTGTAAACTAGAACCTGTTGAAAGCTTCCAAACAGGCTTTCGAATATGTGCTTTGAACAAGTTCTTTCTTTGGAAGGGGGAAGCCGTTGTTAAACTTTCAGAGCAGGGGAAGATGCTTGAATGAATTTATGGTGGGAGGGAAGAGGTCAGAAGTTGCGTTACTGTTTTTAAGTGTCTTTCATGTAACCCAAACAGACTATTATTCTGATTAAAATGGTAATGAGTTGGTAAGTCTTGAGTTAAAGAACATTTTAATGAACACTTTCCTTTTGCTTATGTTTTTTTTCTCTTGCAGCAATTCAGAATCGTAACCCTGTGTGGTACCAAGCTTTGACACAGGGCCTTAATGAAGAACAAAGGAAACAATTGCAGGACATAGCAACTCTGGCAGATCAGAGACGAGCAGCACATGGTATTTTTCCCCCTTTATACCATTAATTCCTGCTTTTGCTGTTTGAATGCTGTTTATGTGCTCAAGAAGCATAACACAGAAAAAGCCTATAATTCAAGCCTGATAATGTCTTCATCAAAGCAGAGTTGGTTTACACTCCAGAGATGCTTGAAATCTCTTAAGATTGTCAGGTCACAAAGCCTCAATGCACAAATTGTATGGCATACTGCAGGTGTAAGGAATGATAGAAATGTCTTAATGAAGTAGCCAAGTAAATAAAAGCGTATTTGTCATAATTGCTTGGATTTGAAAACAAATTATTTGATTACCTGAAGGTGGATGAACTCTAGGTATGGTGACAAACACATTAAGTGCCTGATAAATTATTTCCTGATGTGACCTAGTCCAGCTGGGATAGACAGTGATTCTATAGGTGGGAAAAGAGCAAATTGTAGTAGTAGTATCCATCTGTAAAGCTACATCATTAAGCTTGTTAAATATTTCAGATTGTTATTCTTCAATACAGGTAATACAGATTTAAAAATATAGGAAGTTGGCAGATCTTCAGTTTTCTTTTTTTGTTTTGCAAGTTTTCCCAGGTGTTTGAGAGTAAGCCAATATAGATCACTCTCTGAAGTCAGGGCTGAATTTTGAGTGATCAGTCCGGTGTCGCATATCCTGCATCCTATTTACCAATTACTACAAGATCTTTCAAAATAGAAGTTCAGAAACCTTTCAATAAAAAGATTGGTAGTAAGAATGCACATTTTATAAGTAGTTTGTGTCAGAAAACAGCCTAAATTACCTCACAAAGCTTTAAGTGTTCAGAATGATCCACTTCTAATAGTTATACAGTTTCACTGTGACCCGTCAAACACTTGACGTCATATTGATGAGATTATATACCTCTTTTGCATTTCATGAAAAATAATGTTCTTATTTTTTTCAGCTGCTTATTCGTAGAGCAAGTTAGGTTCAGATTGTGAAGTTTAACTTAACTAGATCCTTACAGGAAATTCTTGTGTACTATCGGAGCATACTGATAGTCCATTTAGGCTACCTACCACACATGCAGACATCCTGCTAGAAGGATTTGGAATATAACTACCTCTCATTAATGTAGCTAAGAAGAATTTCCATAAGCTAAGAGATTTGTCTCATGTGCACTATGGAGCCGGGAGCGAACAAAGCAATGGTCCCCAGGTCATGTTCTCCCCCCGTCCTTCATCAGCTGTGGCAACATTTTTCTGGCCCGTTTCCAAAGAAACAGAGGCAAAATGCAGATCCTCTAGATAATGTGACCTGTCCTGTATTCCCAGAAAGAGAGAGATTGCAACTATTTTGAGGTAGGAGAAAGCTCTTAGACTAGAAATAAGACATTAATAAGAGTTGTTATCTTGAGCTGGGAATAATAGAAACCTCCTGCATTATCTAGATTGTAGTAAAGGTAGATAGAAATACACATTTCTGTAGAAGTAGGTAGACAGAAATGTATAGATGGAAATACGCATTTCTGTCTGCTCTTTACCAACCTCATCTTCAGTTGTCCATGTATTAGAGCTTGTGAAAACTGGTCTTACAGTAATCTTGGAAGGATGGAATATGCAGCTAGTAAAACGAGAAAGCTTAACTATCGCCGTTAGTTACAGTGATGGATATGTGGACCTCAGAAGCCTAAAGATCTTAAGGTTTGGTTGAAGATGAAAAGTGGTATTGGTAGTTTTCTCTCAGGATTATGTTACATGGTCTAGTAATCTATACTCTAAATTATGTGCTTGGGTGTGGCTATTTCTGCTTAAATTGTTGAATTGAGATAGGAACACTGAAAATTTAGGTACTATCTGTGTACTGCTTTTTTGTACATGTGCTCTGTTATTGATTTGACTAAAAAGCTCTATTAATGTTAATCAGAAACAATTGGGTGCCTGTTAGAAATTTTAGAAGTCCAGCATTCATTCAGGTCCTGTTTCTGAAATCTGAAAATTACATACTTGTGTCCGAAAGCTGAAGTGTGGGCTTTTTAAAATATAAATTCATTTAAGCATAGCTATGACTCAATATTGAGAAATTAAAATAAATAAATAAATAATCAGTCCATCTGTTGTTTGGGGCATTGCACATTTCCACTTTGTGAATGCTGATTACTTCCTTGGGTAACCCCAGGTTAAACCTGTATCTCTGAGAGACTCAAAATGGTCAAGTCACAAAATCTTAATCTGTCTTCCCTCCTACGCACACACTAAAATATCTTCCTTCTGTTTTTTGTTTTGTTTTAGAATCCAAAATGATTGAAAAGCATGGAGGATACAAATTCAATGCTCCAGTTGTGCCAACTTCATTTAATTTTGGAGGCCCTGCCCCAGGAATGAATTGAATTATCACTTTTCCTGCTACTGTGTGATTGTAGTGAAGAGCTTGTGTTCCTCCCAATAGTGGTTCCAGAACTGGTTCATGTTATCTACAACTCACTCTAATTGATAAATAGATTGGACAAAAGCCCCAGAGGTGGGACCTGATCATGCAACCTAATACTGGAAAGCAAACCAGAGGGTTTTTTTGAAGATAGGAAGAATCTGAATTTAAAGCTTCAAATGACACACTTTGGAAATCGGAAATCAAGAGGGGATGTCATGAAGGCAGCTTTTCTTTTTCTGAGGAAAAAAATAGGCATGGGCTGCAGGACTATTTAAAATGTCTCATTTACAGTACAAGCTAGAAGGCAGACTTAATTTTTACACCTGTGGCGGTATGAGTATTTGCCCAATTTATTTCCCTTTTCTCCCTTCCTATTGGGTGTCTATTCTTTTAATGTAAATAAGATAAGGTAATCAGATAGCCTTACTTAATCTTCATCATTTCCATTTATCAAGATTGTTCATATGTAGAATATTGGACACTTAATGTAGCACTACATAACTGATAAATCTGTAAATGAATTAGCACTTTCATATTGAAACAAGCCTGCTAGCCTATGTACAAAAATAGCAAAATGTTTGCTGTTTATAAAAAATAAAAATAAAAAATAAGGGATGTATTGGGGAAAATAATTTCAAGTTATTAATTTAAAATGAACTAGCAGTTTTGTACCTGGTGACTTTGTGGTGCAGTCACCTCTGGTTGTGACTTGAATTCGGTTATGTAAAAAGGGGTTAGTGATATTTCATTGCTGCTAAAAAAAAAAATAGCAACACCCTCTGTGTCCTTTGTTTTTCTTAAAGATCTCACTGTACAAGGTGAAATTTGGATACAAATGTGTACTGTAAGCACTGAGGAAAAAGTTACCTTCTCTAAAGCAGGTAAATAAGATGTGAAGTTCTTCGCTTAAGAGTTGATTGAAGTGTGTGGGTGAAACATCTATATATGCAATCTGTTAAAAAGACAACAATTAATTTGGCTAATCTGGGCTATGAACTATGAATGCAATTGTTTCCCCTAATTTTGCAAAATATTCTTTTTCCAGCATGTGGTAGTGCAGGTGCACTACTCTTGCATTTCATTCCCCCTCTTTTTGCACTCCCAGCATTAGTGTGTGCTGTTGTCTGCCTAATCCAGACAGTGTATTTGAAGTTTTGCCAATCTTTCATTTTTGAAGCCACAATTTTCTTCCTTCAAAGTTGCTATAGTAACTAGTATTTTAGCTGGAGAGGCAAAATACAGTTCCCTCTGGGACCACTATCAAAACCACTGTTTGAAGAAGCCAGCAGGGAGATGCTGTGAATGGGTTGGCTTAAATGCCCCCTTTTTCTTTTCTAAAAGCAAAAATCCATAGGTTTTTGATCTTGCCTTGAGATCATTGGTGTCAGGTCTTTTAAATCAAATGTTTGTTGGTTTTTTTTTTTCTTTTGGCTGTTTTTATATAAAAATGTCACCTGCTGTTACAATTGATATTAAACAAGCTACCTTAATTTAATGTAAGCCTCCAAAATTTAAATACAGGTTAAAAATAAACTGAGTTTATATCTGTAAAAATGAAATGCACATATATATATTATGATACTCAAAATGCAGTCTTCAGAAAATTGGTTTGTGTGGTGTGTTTTTTTGCATCAGCAGGGTAGCAGGAATTCATGGTTTGGGGTTTCCTTGATGAGCTGACCAGCACCATGCTCTGCCTTCCATTTGTTGCACAACCGCTAGCGCTTCTCTGGGCAGGTGTAGTGGGTTTTTTCCAGTCACTCTTCTCTGGTCTGCCTTTCTTCGGCAAATAGTTACCTGCGCGCAGAGCTAATGTGAGAGATGGAGCCAGGACTATAATGCCACTTTGCCCTAGCCGAATACCAAAGGGATACTTTAAAAGCAAATTGTGGACTTAAAAGGATGGGTATTGTACCTGATGTGAAAAAGCCTAAAAAATTAAGCCTCGAATCAGAGTATCCATTATAGTAGTGGTATGAGAACCACCGTAGTACTTTGGAATCTTTAGCTGACAGGCCAAGTACCTATAGCAGAACTGATTTTTATTTTTTTTTTTAAATGTGTAACTCATGAGCACATACAGGTGTACTCCGGCCTCAAGATAATCTCTAGACAAGGTTTTATTTTTGTAGAAAAAGGTGACAGACATAATTACAAGCATACCTTTTCCTGTGCATTCCTTGACCTTGAAAAATCCCCCGTTTGACATAATTTCTGAACATCTGCTTGTTGGGTATCTGCTTACCTTGTTATGCATCCCCAAAAAATCTAAGAGATTTAGGACAGATGAGACACTTCTGCCTCATGGCAGAAGATGTGACAGAGCAGCAGTGAGAAAGCTTTATATACAAAGCAGATGAAAAAAATGAGGGGAAAATCACCAATTTAGTGCCATTGTCATTTCTGGAACAGTTATATTTTTCAAGTCACAAGTCAAGGGAAGAATTTTATCTTGGTGTGAGGAATACAGTCTTACTTCAAGGGTGCTTTTATGTGTCGCTAGATTGGTTAGCAAGGAGCATCTTTTTTAAGAATGGATCTAGAACTTTGCTTTCCTTTGCTCCAAGAAATGTATTTATATAAATTGCAGAAAAATTTTGCATTGTTGTTGGTGGTGATAGCGCATTTTGTGATGCAATATATCAATTTCAGTGATACACTTATGTCAAATTTAAAATTGATCTTCCTCCTAGAACTTGCAATTATCCATTCCATTTTCAAGGATAATGCAACTCTAAAGGAAGAGCTGGGAAATTTAAAGCCTCTGTTTTTTCTATTATGGAAGATCTCCTTGGATTAATAAACATCTAAAGCAAATCCTTATCTTCACTTATTTCAGTGTGGTGTTTTGAATGTAGCTGTATTCTTACAGTACTTGGGAGTCCTGTTCTAGTTACGTAGCTCTAAGGTTTGTATTTTCCTCTCTAAAATACTTCTTCAAGCAGAGATGTTAGGCACAACTACAGTCCTCTTAACTGTGTTAAATGTCATATGCTATTTTTTAAAATGTTGACATACTGGGTAAATTTAATACCCTTTTTTCCTGAATCACTATCTTAAAAGAATTATTAATAGGTGTCAGCGTAGTACAGCAAAGCTCTGTACAAATCTCTTGTAGCCTAGAATTACTACTGCAAGATTCAAGAAGTCTGCAGTGGATTAAGTACAGAATACCCGACAATAAACATGCAGATGGTTTTAATTGTGCCTAGTAATTGATACCTCAAATTTTATGGGTTAAGTCTTATTTTTCTAAAGGAAATTTCTGCCTGTTGTGACTATCAGTTCTTGGAAGAGTAGAAACATCATGAAGCTTCTCAGTGATTTTATCTTTGCATGTTTCTGTCAAGTTCTTTCAGTCTTTCCTCATAGTACTTTTCTCTTGCTAAACATTTCCACTTCCTGGACCTGAATTTGTCCCCCTGTAACTCCCATGAGATGCTGCCAAGAAACTGTAAGCTCTCTGTACTTACACAGTTCATGCTGTAGGCAGTCATACCCCTGCTGATGCTCTCTCTCTGTGTATTCAACAGCAAGAGACACGGCTGTGTCCTTCTCTGGCATTTCAGCAGTGGGACTGATGCTCACTGATGGCTCTGAGCAGTGCAGCCGAGGGGACGGCTCCTCAGTGGGTGCTCCAGGCTCCCATGGGGGAAGCATGTGGTTCCAAAGTCAGTATTAGTGGTAGACCCAGCATTGTCTATGTATGGGTTTTGATTTAACAGATGTGGCAAATTTCAGGTAATGCTGGTCCAAAGTTTGTATGCTTGTGAAGACTTTACCAGTCTTCCATGACTTGGGCTACTAATTAAGTTTTTGTCTTTGGTATATGATCAGCAGCAGGTGAACACTGCTTCTGAAAATCTGTGCAAAAATGGGCGTTTATTTTTAAAAACTTAGTTGGGAAGAGCACTACAGTTCTGCATTTCTGCTCAATCTACTATTCAAGTTTTAACCTGAATGCAGTACTAAAAAAAAAAAAAAAAAGTTTATCAAAATTTGTGAAAAGCTTGCCAGGTACAAGGCGCTCAGTATTATGCTGTTACAGACTACACAAGCAAAAGATGAGTTCCTTGAGCTGGGTTTTTCTCTTACCTGTGCTCTGTGGGACCTTCTGCATACCCAGAACCAGGAATGTGGAAAAGCTTCATTTATCTGGTGGTGTAGCACTGATTATACATTACTTTGCAATCAATATGTAGTTTATTTAACTTAAAGGGTATGTCATTGGTTTGCTTATTTCTGCTTTTTATAACCAGTCTCAGGTGTTGATGCTTTAGAAATGGCAAGTGCTTCAGCCTGGGAAATCCCAAGTTGTAAGATTTGAGAGAGATGTTAAGTAATCTATTAATGTAAACAGAATTGTATTTTGGGTGTTTCACGGCTACTGTACCTCAAATCAAAGTGATGGCTGTAATTTGTATTTTGGGTGAAAGTTTCCAATTAAGAAACAGGAAGGAAAACTTGAAACTAAGAAAGGAAAATTGCTCTGTATTAGGCCTGGTTGGGAATAAGCTGGTTTTGGCTGTTTTGCCATTTGGTTATTTTTGACTGCAAGAATTTAGAACTGTAGTTCTGCAGTTTTAGGCAAAAAACTTACATGTTTTTATACCAGTCATGTTCAGAAAGGTCAAGTAAGCCCTACAGCGCAGGGCCTATTGTCCTGTCAATGGCGATAGCTCATGTTAATTGCACAGTTGCGTTTTCTTAAAAAATCATCTACTGAAGTAATTGTAATACCCTTTAACTGCCTGTGGAGCTGCTGTTGGACTACTACACGTTTCAATACCTAAAAATCACGTGAGGATAAATATTCTTCAGCAGAGCTTTAAGAACAGAGTCCTTATCCCCCAGAGCTGGGCTGAAACGCAGCACAAGATAACGCGCCGGGAGGCTGGCGAAGGGGACCCCCGGGGGGCTTCCCCTCCCTCCCCAGCTCTGCCCCGAGCAGCCCCTCTTCCAGGGCACCGCGCCCCGGTAACCCTTCCAGCGGCCTCCCCCCGGCTCCCGCACCGCCAAGGGACGGAGCCCCGCGCACCGCCGGCCCGCCCGCCTC